TAAAATGAACATTAGTCCAAAGGTTTGATGATATTTTGCTTTATTCCTTATCAACGTGCCTTCTATACCACCACCTTTATCTAATATGGCTGTATCCAGGATTTAAAGTAAAGCATTGATAGCATGAAGAAATCGAGGCGCAGTTGTTGCAATGTTACTCTATCAATTTTTTCTGCACCGTAGAAATTTAGTGATGATTTTAGCTCTTCGTGTTTGTCCTGTTTACAAAGGCAACATTTTCTCCGATCGGTTTTCCATCTACGTTGAAAGTTAGCAGGAATTACCATTTTAAGAGGCCATGTTTAATAGTTCAAGGCCAATGGTTGATCATTTTAATAGCTTGCACCCAAGCACTTTAATGTACGGAATACAGCTAGGTTCATGCTTTTGCCCTACACCTAACCCGATCATTCATCCAGTGCCATTTAAGTCCTGTGAGATCTGTACACCATAGGGATAACTGAAGCCCCATTATCCTTGACTTGGCTTTCCCGCGTTGTCATATCGTGTTGATCCAGGTGTGGCTACGTATTGTGGGGCTTATTCGGTAGAATTTAAGGCCACTAAATTATAACTGCATGATATAACCGACACTGAAACTGTATGGCCATATATTGCAATAACATTCACCATTTCCACCTATTCTCATCACATTGTCCTGATGTGATGCAAACAATCTGAGAAGTTGTAAAAAGTGTAAGAAAAAACAGTTACTGCACGCTCATATGTAGAATTTGACACTTAAATGAACCATCATGGACAACTCGATAATTTAATTTAGCAAAAATATAATTGGTAGCCTTTGTGAAAAATGGCTGCAAAACGTGGATTTTCAAATGGCTATAAAACGTGGATTTTCAAATGGCTCACTTTTTTTTACTTTTCAGAAATTAAACACCATTGTTTATTTTTTCTAGATTTGAAGCTTTCGTGACTGCAAGGATTCATACACCATTGTGTCTATATCTAGCAAGCTTCATGCTTGTGTCACAATATGAACAATTCCTGTGAGAGAAAAAAATGCCGTCTCGTGAGAACGAGTGACCGGCAAAGCAATCAGTGCTACTCGTGCTGCCAGTTATGCCAACACCAAACTGCTGGCCACGAGAAAGTGTACAAGCAGGGTTTTACTAACATTATATAATTCAATAATAGCACGAGGGTGTGGGGAGGGGGGCAAGAGAGATTCAATGCTAATTAAATAACACGCGGTTTGACTATAACAATTCAATTACTCGCTAACAGCGCGCGAGTGAATACAAGTAATTTAACATTTGCTTTAATTTGCAGTGACAGACCAGGAATGGAACCCATCAGAGGGGATGTCCTCCAAGGAGATGTAGCAAAGAAATCAGCTGGTGTGCATGTGCTAGAGGCTAGGTGGGTTACTACATGTCAAGATTGAGTTTAACCACGTAGGCTTTCGCAACCAATATCATCCATAACACTCATTGTAAATGTTGTGGTTTTGCTCTCCAACACACCGGTGTGCTGTACTAGTAACGATTTGGCATGTTCTGTTTACGTGACAAATCTTACTAATTAGCTTTGTCGGGTGGTGGCGGGGTTAAAGACATTTATATTTACGCGATCGAACCCCGAAAACCCTGTATTATGTATCAAGAACATGAGTTGGCAATTACTTCGGGAGAGCTTCATCCAGCCGTGGACTGATCATTTCTAATGATGATGAAGATCCCACAACATCGAATGCAATTACATCGCATCACATTGCATAATATTACAGCACAGGCAACCGGACAAAGTTACCAGTCTCAACTGCAATCACTTCAACTCATGCAATTATGTATAATTACAAAACATGACTGTATATATTAACATTACAAATTAACATAGAGAGCATCGAGTTACTACTGTAAAAAAAATCTGCATTAAAAAAATCGTTATTCACCTTCATTTACAATTGCAGGGCGAATAACAGGTAGTGTGTGTGTTTAAGCCACAACACGTGTGGCAGGCTACAGGCTAAGGTGCGGCCCGAGACACAGCCACACTTGGCGTGTGGTGTGTGTAAAGACACTCTAGCAGTGGAGAACACTTGGCCTTATGGTGTGTGTAAAGACACTAGCAGTGGAGAACACTTGGCCTGTGGTGTGTGTAAAGACACTAGCAGTGGAGAACACTTGGCCTGTGGTGTGTGTAAAGACACTCTAGCAGTGGAGAACACTTGGCCTTATGGTGTGTGTAAAGACACTAGCAGTGGAGAACACTTGGCCTGTGGTGTGTGTAAAGACACTAGCAGTGGAGAACACTTGGCCTGTGGTGTGTGTAAAGACACTCTAGCAGTGGAGAACACTTGGCCTGTGGTGTGTGTAAAGACACTAGCAGTGGAGAACACTTGGCCTGTGGTGTGTGTAAATACACTCTAGCAGTGGAGAACACTTGGCCTTATGGTGTGTGTAAAGACACACTAGCAGTGGAGAACACTTGGCCTGTGGTGTGTGTAAAGACACTCTAGCAGTGGAGAACACTAGGCCTGTGGTGTGTGTAAAGACACACTAGCAGTGGAGAACACTTGGCCTGTGGTGTGTGTAAAGACACTAGCAGTGGAGAACACTTGGCCTGTGGTGTGTGTAAATACACTAGCAGTGGAGAACACTTGGCCTGTGGTGTGTGTAAAGACACTAGCAGTGGAGAACACTTGGCCTGTGGTGTGTGTAAAGACACTCTAGCAGTGGAGAACACTTGGCCTGTGGTGTGTGTAAAGACACTAGCAGTGGAGAACACTTGGCCTGTGGTGTGTGTAAAGACACTCTAGCAGTGGAGAACACTTGGCCTGTGGTGTGTGTAAAGACACTAGCAGTGGAGAACACTTGGCCTGTGGTATGTGTAAAGACACTCTAGCAGTGGAGAACACTTGGCCTGTGGTGTGTGTAAAGACACTAGCAGTGGAGAACACTTGGCCTGTGGTGTGTGTAAAGACACTAGCAGTGGAGAACACTTGGCCTGTGGTGTGTGTAAAGACACTAGCAGTGGAGAATACTTGGCCTGTGGTGTGTGTAAAGACACTAGCAGTGGAGAACACTTGGCCTGTGGTGTGTGTAAAGACACTAGCAGTGGAGAACACTTGGCCTGTGGTGTGTGTAAAGACACTCTAGCAGTGGAGAACACTTGGCCTGTGGTGTGTGTAAAGACACTAGCAGTGGAGAACACTTGGCCTGTGGTGTGTGTAAAGACACTAGCAGTGGAGAACACTTGGCCTGTGGTGTGTGTAAAGACACTAGCAGTGGAGAACACTTGGCCTGTGGTGTGTGTAAAGACACTAGCAGTGGAGAACGCTTGGCTTGTGGTGTGTGTAAAGACACTCTAGCAGTGGAGAACACTTGGCCTGTGGTGTGTGTAAAGACACTCTAGCAGTGGAGAACACTTGGCCTGTGGTGTGTGTAAAGACACTAGCAGTGGAGAACACTTGGCGTGTGGTGTGTATTACCGCTAGGTAATAACGAGGGGACATGCGAATGAGCTTGCTTGGTGACGTCTCCCGGGGTCACACACCAAGCGATGCGACTCTAAACCCAGGAAACGGGAAACATGACTTTTTTTTGCTGCGGCAGAGCTTCCGATTATTATTTTTTGTTGTTGTTTAGCCGAGCAGAAAACGTTCAGAGGAGAGTGGGGGGTTGAAATAAAAGCATTCCTTTACATCTCAAATTATTTGGTGATGCTGCGTCGGTAAGTGGTGCACAAGAAACTACAACCGCAAAACAATCGTTAATTGCATCGTGAGACTCAACAGGAAAAATTATCGGTGGCCGTTTCGGGCAATGACCCTTCTTCAGGGCACATGAGCAAGCGAGACCAGAAAGTTAAAGAGTGTATACAACTGCTCTTAACCACGTGGGTGTGACTAGAATGATCGTATTTTTTGTACGATTCCTGATTACGTTTATTTAAATAGCATACGAATAACCCCAGTAACTGCTTGATAAGACAATCCCTTCAATATGAAATTTGTATTGTATTGTTAGACGCAGGCAACATTCTCTTTATGTCATATGAAAAAGGTCTTTTACACAAAACGTCGCATTATTATATATTTGTTTTCCTTTAAAGGCAGTGTTATTGGGAAATGTTTTAATTTTTTGATAGGAGCTCCGTGTCTGTAGTTCACATCCCCAGTGAAACTGCGCCTCTAGATCACAATCCCCAATCTATCTCGTGTCTCTGTACATCACAATCCTATAGTCTCTACATATCCATGACTCTTTAGTTCACAATCCCATTCCATCTCATGTCTCTGTACACCACATTCCCATAAAATCTACATCTCCTGTGTCTGTACATAACAATCCTATAGTCTCAACATATCTATGACTCTTTAGTTCACAACCCCATTCTATTTCGTGTCTCTGTACACCACATTCCCATAGTACCTACATCTCCGTGTCTCTAGATCACTATCCCAGTCTATCTGTCTCTGTACGTAACATCCTATAGTCTCTACATATCCATGACTCTTTAGTTCACAATCCCATTCTATATCGTGTCTCTGTACACCACATTCCCATCCTATCTCGTGTCTCTGTACACCACATTCCCATCCTATCTCGTGTCTCTGTACACCACATTCCCATAAACTCTACATCTCCGTGTCTCTGTACATCACATTCCCAGTTTATCTCGTGTCTCTGTACATCACATTCCCAGTCCATCTCGTGTCTCTGTACATCACATTCCCATAGTCTCTACAGTTCACAATCAGTCTATCTCGTGTCTCTGTACATCACATTCCCAGTCCATCTCGTGTCTCTGTACACCATTCCCATAGTCCCTACATCTCCGTGTCTCTGGATGGAGATCACTATCCCGGTCTATCTCGTGTCTCTGTACATCACCACAGTCTCAAACATCTCAGGGGCAATTCGTTCTCTCTACCCGAGTCCCGCACGCATCTCTCTCCCGTCCGCCACAGGCCGCATCCCCGCGCCAGGCCTGGCCAGCCCGCCCGTTCTCTCTCCTCCCTCCTCCTTCCTCCTCACCAGTGACGATGGGGATGAGGTGCAGGGCGAGCGCGAACCACGGCTTCGACAACGAAGACGACCGCGACCACGAGGACGACGACGAGGAGGAGGAGGCCATCGCGCCGGGCCGCGCTATTGTTACTCAACTGTCGCTGCTTCTTCTTCTTCTACAGAGTCTTGTGCTGCTGCTGCTACAGCCGCTGTGAATGGGGCTGAGTAGCTGCCCAGCCTTGGGTTGTTCTCTGTTGTTGTTGTTCCCCGTCCATGCTTCGGCATTCGAGACCCGTCCGTCCACTGCTGGTGATGTTACAATCTTACTACTACCATCACCGCCAACCCCTACCCCCACCCCCCACTTCGCTAACAACAGTAGCAACAATACTATTTATTGTTCACATATATTTACCGTACAACGTACGCGTGTTGTTGTCGCGGGCAGTGGGCCGTCGGCGTGAAATAGAAAAAAAAAACCCAAGTGAATATTGTTTCTATGTTTTCGCCGTGAGGGGGGTGTTGTTTGGCGCGGTTTCTTGTTGGGGTCTTAGCGCGCGAGAGCCGCTCCGTCTGTTTTGTTCACTCGATCTGGCGCCCATTGAGCCCCGCCCCCACCGCCCACTGAGCCCCGCCCCCACCCCCCACTGACCTCCGCCCCTCGATACAAATCACGCCCCCTCCCCACTGCCTAAACCCCGCCCCTCATCCGGATCGCTCCCCGCCCCCCCCCACCCCTTATATAACAATGACCCGCTCGCACTAACATAACCTGTCCAAACTCTGCCAAACCAGAGACCTGTTTTATATAAACCCCTAAACTCCGGCCTTTATTCCACTAAACCCCGCAAAATAACTCATTAACCACCTCGGACTCCCGAAAACCCGCATCGCGTACAACTAAACCCCGCCCATACCTGAATTAAACCCCGCCCGCCAGTGGCTAAACCCCGCCCACCAGTGGCTAAACCCCGCCCACCAGTGGCTAACCCCGCAGCTGCTGAAAGCTTCACAAACCCCACCCCTCGCTAACCCCCCGCCCCTTCACTTCCCCCCCAAGCCCCCTTAAAATATAAACCCCGCCCCCCTCGCATTCAAACCACGCCCACATCACCTCCGCGACCCCGCCCCACCCTTTCGCGTGTTGGGGGGGGTGGAGCGCCTCGGCTACAAGATGGATTCCCCCACAAGGGCAGAGCGCGTGTTTACGTGACGTCACGGGGCACCCGGATGTACGCGTGGCGCCCACGTGCGTTTACCGCGCGCACGTGTTACACGGGAACGGTGCCATGCTGCGAGCGAGTCGTGCTTCAGTCTGATGGGCGACGATGAAGAGATGACGATGCCCGCAGAAATCCACATGGCGAGACAATGCACAGTCATGGCTGTATTAGCTCGCTGTGGTAACGCCATAGTCCGCGCTGCTCAGACTGTGTTATGGGCCGCACGCTGCACGGTTTCACGACTGCAACACCCATGCAGTTCATGCAGCCGTAGTCATTTGCTTAAAATTGGTAACATCCCATTAACACGAGGCTCGGATTGCAGTTCACTCCAAGTTGGGGTTAATGAGTTGCAACATCCCTTTGTGGTTGATGTTGACTGCCACGTCGCCTTATCTTAATATTAACTGCAATTTTTTCTCACGCTGCTCTTCTGAAATCTCTCCCCTCCCCCGGTCTCTTTCCTCAAATACGACTAAAGCTTGCCTAATTCAAGACACGTATTAACTCGTGTCTATCACAGCTTTGGTCTTTGCTGTTTATTGCTGACTGCTTGGGTTTTTGGTCGGTGATTTTTAAAACCGTGATTTTAAAAAAGTAACTAATTTCGCGGATCCTATTATCTGCAGGGTTTTCTGCGATTTTACTCAACTTTTTCACGGGGAAATTGTGCAGATAATCGTGAATATGAAGAATAGGGTCGCTAATAATAGGCGTTTTCGTGAACTCAACTGCTCCGGCAGATAAAGGTGGAAGGTAATAGGGCAATTGATGAGAGGAATTCAAATTCTGATATTCTCATCTTGGAATCTAACCTACCATGTGATTGTGTGAATCTATTGCAGTATATAAAAATACAATCATAATATACACACTCTTACCATACACAAAAATCCCAGATATAGCCTAGATACTGTACTTATTAGGGCAGGTCCTGTTAGCACATACGAAGGCCGGCACGGCGCACCTTGGCCACCTTTGTCTCCCCAGTACTTTTATACACCACACCAGTTAATAATTTAAGGCTGAGCTCACCTTGTGTAGGCCTAGGGCCAGTTCAGATCATCACCAATGATATTAGCCATGGCCAGCAAACGTACTTGAAGAACCACGCTTAAAACACAGTGCGCTAAACACTTATCTCATCACTATTTACCACACTCGCTTGCACGTGAGCGCGCGCACACAGACACACACCCTGAAGCTCTAAGTGGCTGTTGAAATTTGCCGGATGTGGTTACGCTTGCGTGACTTGGCTATTCACGCTTGTGCTCAGCAGTGCCGAGTGCCAAAATCTGGGTGCCAAACCTACTTGTGGGTTTTAATAGAGCTTTTTTCCTTCAGTTCAAGTGTACCCAGAGTTCACACACTTGCCAAGGTAATAATTAGGGCTGTTAATATGACAACGGATAACCGTTTTCGGAATCGTTTGCTGGTTCGGAAAGTCGGGATCCACCGACAATCGCTTCCAGTGGAGCGTTTGTGGCAGCGCCAATGAACGCAATGATTGGCGCGCACACGAATGCACATACCGCACGGCGACCTATCTCACCGTATATGCAGGAGGTCGTGGATTCGATCCCGACCCTGACTCCTGCATATTTGAAGTCTGCATGTTCTCCCCGTGGTCGCTTGTATTTTTCTTCGTGTCCTCTGGGGTTTCCCTGCACGTTTAAAAACAACGTGCGTTTAGAGCATTTGGCTCCACGTGTAAAGCCACTTGTTGAGCTGTCGTTTGTGGTAGCCAGGTCGCTTCCGAAAAAAAGCGAAATGGCTCAGTGGGCCTTGACTGGTAAAATAAAATAAAAATAGTTTCGTTTTTGTTTAATTGAGTGTGGTGTATTTGCTCTAATTCCTCAGCTTTTAAAGGGTGAAAGCGCAATCCCTGCAGGTTGCTTGTTCGCTCACGACACTGCTGGCGGGAGGACCTCTAATAGATAGAGCTGAACAGGCGAGTTCGAGGTGAATGGCGAGATGTTATAAAAGTTCTCTATTGTTTAGTCTGCCGTGCCGGGAGATAGGACTGGCCCGTCGACCTCTGGATTGCAGTTCCAGCGGGCTCGACATTCCACCAGCTGCCTTCTTTTCTCAGCTATAGGGGCAAACATGTTGTTCTCATCGCTAGACATTGCTATGTGCTGAAAACCGGAAACCGCGTATTACCGGTTTTTATGTGGGTACCGGTAATGCAAAATACAAGCTAATTTTAACCATACTCCAAGGTAATGTTATGTGTTACAGAAATGCAAGTATCTTGAAGACAAATGAGCATAATACATTTTACGTAGGCTAGGTTAAAACGACAGTAAACTATCCGTGTTTATTATTTGTACCTGAGTTTATATTGCCATTAAATAAATACTTCTGGTGGCGATAAGAGATCCAAAAATCGAAATACAGCTTTAAACAGTTTCCTGGAGCTGTCTGACATGTAGACCTTCAAAGCTGGTGGTAATGTTATCCGCTAAGCCTATGGGCTGATATGTGCGTGTTTAAAGATAACTTCCTCGTCATTTGACAAGCACAATGCGTTTGCACACTAAACTTCAGAGGACTCCAATGTAAACGATTAAATGAGTAGTTTAGTCACAGGACAGTTCTGTACAGTAACTATTTTTGTTCAATATGGGGAAGATCCATGACTTGTGCACAGAATTACAGCATATCGCACCATCATTAGCCATTCTTCAGCCGTGTGTCGAGAATACAGTAAAGTAATTCAAAACTTTAATTTGCATCCCTTGTTGAATATAATACGAAGCCATTTAAAGGAGGGGTCCGTTCACAATCAGAACGTTGTACAGATTTGTAGTAAACTCGAGGTCCAGATGTCAACACAGAATACAGCTCTGGAGTTGATAACATTATGGTGCCACAGTGACAAGATGTGAAATACCTCCGCCTGCTATACAGGAGGTCTTGGATTCGATCCCGCTTGTTTATTTGGAGTTTTGCGTGTTATCCCCGTGGGCGCATGGATTTTTCCTCCGGGTTCTCCGGATTTTCCCTCCACATTTAGAATCAGCATGCGTTTGGAGTATTTGGTTTCTATAAATTTCCATGTGATATCATTTGTGGACAGTTCGCTACTGAAAATAATCATAATAGCTCAGTGGGTCTTACCTGGACCTGAATTTGTACGAATCTTTGGCAAATATTGGTCACTGAAAATCTGTTCCAAAAGGTAAACCTCAAGTTGTGATGAGTTAAGTCTTATTGGTGATTCTGAAATATTTGTTCAGGCACAAATCAACATAAAGACAAGACTACATTTACACAATATCCTTGTCACCTGGATAATTTACGAACATATCCAGCACAGCTCATTACTGTATTGTAGTTTTTAGCACACCCAATACGGCATTCTTGAAATGATGGCAACATTACTGCACACAATAACTCTAAGGTTAGTGTAGGTTCTTGCACATGGACTTAAAGACATGCTACATTGCTGAGCTGACTGTTGGGTTGAAGATTATATGTCCTTTCAATGAGAAGTTAAAATGGTAATCTTGAACAGCAGCAGCAGCAGCTTAACAAAGAGCATTCTTCTAGTTGTGTGAATTCATGGCTACGGAGCAATGGCAATGAGCATTTCAATGCGATGCTCGTTTTCTATGGAAATTATGCTTCTGCAAACTCAAGGTCTTGTTTGTCGCTGAAGGTAGTGTCATAACACTGCTGCAGTGCATTTCTATAATGTCTCATAATAAACTGCAGTGGTGTGGTGGAGTCTGTGGGTTGGGTGGCCTTTGGGTGGAGATGTATCATGTTACATGCAGCCCTCTCATTCCATTCTGCGGTCACCACTATGACCGGCTTCTGTTTATAACAGCTTGCTTGCGGACAGATGGACTTTCACTTTACCAGCCATGTAAAAAGTCGCAGCCAGTCACTATAGAGCAGTGGTTCTCAGAGTGCGGTCCCCTGGACCACCGGTGGTTCGCGACGGTCCTCCATGTGGTCCGCGGGTCTGTGAAGCAAACGCAGGTTGATCCGGAAATAATGACAACGTTTATACCTTTTGTTTCGGACGTGAATTAATATTTCACTCATGGTATTTAACTTTTGAAAAGTTAGGTAAACTACCCTGAATAAACTGCCATAACCCTAAAATATAAATTCCGTCCCTAAAAAAAACTTATAGCAGCGTTAAAAAAAACATTCCAGTAATCTGAATCATTTTTTATATGACTGGTATTTAGAGAGAAGTGGAGAAGTGAATGCGTTTTGTCACCAGGGGTGTGGGGCTGGGTGGTCCGCGAAAATGGTCGCATCGGCTGATTGATCTGCGGGCTTAGAAAAGTTGGAGAAATACCGCTCCAGTGAATACAGCGCTGTGTTAAATGCAGAGCTGTTAACCTGTAGGAAGGAACACGGGGCTAGTT